ACTCGCCATATGGTTCACTCATTTCTATTTTAAGATGTGATAACCAAATGTAAGTGTTCCTCTGATTTTTCAGGACTTAATTTAGACTAAGATTTCAGTTTTGGAAATCATTCTGTAAGACACACAACAATTTAGAGTTGTTGTACCCCCACCCATTGCCTACCCTCAACCTAACTTCACTCATTGCTCTCTCCAGAGAACACTAGTGGGAAGGTGGGGATATGGAGTGAGTAGGTCCCCGAAGGCAGGTCAGAGTGTCAGTGTAACGTGTGCATAATACACACTGTCAGGTCATCTGCATGGCAGCCAAAGAATTGGATGTGTTTGTGTCTGTTCACTTATCAATCGTCTGAGCCTTTTAGTTTCAGTCACAAATGTGAACACATATAGTTTCTTCAGATACTTGAGGGACTGGCTGGGAACAATCGAGTCTGCCAAAAGAGGTTTCAACTTTTGACAACCATCCTGAGCCCTTTTACAATATAAAAGCCTCATTATGTACAACTCAGCCTTGACCCTAAGCCTTGACCTGGGAAACTACTAGGGAGTGTCAGATTAATCCCAATATGCTCCATTCCTCAGCTGGCTGTCCCAACTCCCAATGTGCTGTCATCGAGCACTTCAGACTTAGTTCACTGTGAAACACAAGGAAGAAAGGATTTGGATCCATGTCTCCTTTTACATGTAAGAGTCTGTTTTGTGATATTGATGCTTTTGCTAATTTTAAAAAGCACTGAGTTTGTGCTGAGGAATTGCTATTCTGGTTGTCTTCAAAATGTATAAAACTATCAACAAAACCGAACAAACACTGAGCTCTTGAATCACTGGTTTTTTATATACAACACAATGTCATGGTAGACAGATGCTAAGAACTACAACACGCTTAAGACAAAGAATGGAGAGAGACGAAAGGAAGGAAAGGAGATGGAAGAGGGGAAGGTAACAAAGGAAGTGAAGGAAGAGAGGAAGGAAAGACAGCTGAATCTTGGGTCCTTTAGAGATCAGAAGCGGCATAGCAGGGTTTTGTAGTGGGGTTCGTTTTAGACTCTCCTCCTGCCTCAGCTTCCGTGAAATGGCCCTTGATCCTGGTGATTAAATTCTGACTGCAGGGCAGCCTTTTCTGAAGAAAAGGTGGGCTGTTTGTGGTGTTCTCAGTGACCCCAAGCTCCACGCCTTCAGTTCACAGACATGAAGTGGCCTTGCATTGAAGACTTGGGGTAATGTTGACCCGGCTGATACAGTTAGGGTGGGAGTTTCATTGAGCATCATGGTGGCAACAAGTAAAATGTGATCTTCTTGGCTTTCGCGTCTGCCACATATCCACAGAAGGTGATGGCTGACACAGGAGTGTGTGTGTGTGTGGTGGGGGGGGGAGTTACCCATTTAGTTGCCAGGAAGACTGTCCCACCTCCAGGCAGTCTTCTGCTAGCAGAAGGAACAGGCATAGGATATCAGCCAGGTGTTAAGCAGTGCTGCTTCCTGGGGTAGGGATGAGATGGCATAAGAGGTGGTAGTGGTGGTGCTGGTAGTGACAGAAGCAGTCATGAGTCAGGGTAGGCTAGCCTGTGTTAGGGTGCTCTGCGTTATGGCTCTTCAGTGAGATCCATTTCTATTGCTTTTGATTTTCTCTAAATTCTGCTTTCCGTGTGGAATCACTTATCTTTGTGAAGACATCTTTAACATGCTATATAGTGCAGTTCTGCTGGCTACCAATTCTCACTTAAGCATATGTGCAGATGTCCTTACTTAACTCTTATTTTTGAAGGATATTCTGGTTTCTTCCTTTGCAGTCCACAAGCAATCACTGATTTGCTTTTTGTCACTATAAATTATATTTTATATAAATGGAAATATGTAGTATATATTCTTTAATCTAGCTTGCTTCATGCAGCATAATTTTATGCTCTACCTGTCTCATTATATGACAGTTCCCAACTTACCACCTGTTGGTGGACATTTCGGGTTTCTATTTTTAGCTGTTACAGAGCTGCTATATTTTCATACCAGTCTATGCATGGAAATATTCTCTTTTTTTCTCTTGGGTGGATACCCAGAAGTGGGGTGCTAGATCATATAGTGGGTGTATGTTTGTTTTTACTGCCAAACTGTTTTGAAAGTGATTGTTCTGTTTTACATTCCCACCCACTGTAAGAAGTCATCAGGGACACATCCTCCTTGCTTCCATCCTTTCTGTTCCTTAGCTGTCTATTGCACACAGCCACAAACATGGAACATGGACTTTTTTGTTGGGGCAAGGAGTTTTAGAATTGTGTTCGGGTTAGTTGGTAGAGTGTCCTGAGGCCTTGGGATCTTGAGACAGTCTGGAGAGGAGACATTGTGCCCATGGGTAAATGTGTTTCCTTGGCCAAAATAACTTTTTTCCTGTGTGATGGGGTATGGCCAAAGGATGACTAAAGAAGAGTCCTCAAAAATGTGGAGCTCGGGACAGCACTTGTCTTGCTCAGATCTGAAGGCAGGACCGTTCCCCTATCTTCTAATCTATCTTGTTTCTAATTATCTTTAAAAACCCATCTCACTCTTCACTCCTATATCTTTCACCCTGGCAGTTGGAGGCTCTCCCTCAATTTCTTGCTATTCACCTTTCTATATGCCTCACCTTCCCAATTATCTGTATGCTTTTGCGCCAACCACTTCTATGTCTTCAACTATCTGACAGACATATAAATTCATTAAAAATGTTGAATGAAGCAGAGTATGAAGTTGGTTTTTCTCTGTTCCTGGATTATCATGCTAATCTTGAATTGCCCAGCGTGCTTTTCCTTTTGCACAGGTAGAACTTGCACATGTACGTTGTTATTTTCCTGTCCAAGTTCTACTGCATCATTCTTGGCTAAGTGTTTGTCTTCAGTTAACTAACACCACAAAATTCTGTGTACTTTGCTTATATTTTACTCATCCAGTGTAACCTCCTTACTCGCTATGTGAAATGACCCAGAAATCCAGAGGCAATTTTTACTAGGCTTCTGATTTTCCTGCATTGGCTGTATTTGTCTTCCAGGTTACTAGAAAACCTGGCCATGAACATTTACCAAGTGAGTGGTGCCCATTTTGTTTGTCCAAGCACCTGTCTCTCCCTGGTGTGCTCTTTCTTTCCTCCATCTAGATGATGGAAGAATATTTCAAAATTCAGCAACAGCTTTCTCTCTTCCCAGAAGCTTTCTCTTTGGGGGAGATCTAAATTAAAGTACTTTTCTGTCTTCTTATAGTACATCTCTGTAAATCTCTCATAATATTTAAGTACTGGCACTGAAATTTTCAGTTTACTTGCTGGTTAGTCTTTCTAGACTGAAAACTGGAAAGACAGGAACCGTGTCTCATTTGACTTTGTGCTTTAGCATCTAACATAGTACTGGCTTGTGGCAATGCCCAAATAACTGGTTAATAAATGAATACATAAGTGAATGAAAGAATGCCCTTTATATTCATCTTTTGCATTTTCTGCATATCTTTACTTCTTTTGTTTCTACTCTTTCACTTTGAATAAGTTTCTGCAAGTTTATAGAGTGAGTTTTGTGGCCTTTTAATTAGTTTTACTAGCTCTACAAATTTTGGAAAATGGATTTTGAACCTTAGCAAACAAACTAAAATGTTAAATTTTTGTTCACAGACATGGCAATGGAAGATTTCATTGGTATATGCTGCATGGGCAGGTACATCCTTTAGGTTCTTTAACCTTCTCTGTTGAGAATCATGGGCCTCTGGACAGATCTGCCCATTCTAGCAACCACACAGATCCTATGCTGTCACACTGATAAGTTAGGTAACTGACCTTTCTCAAGTCAGGAGGGCTCCCTACATGGAAGCCAAAGTTCAAAGTACTGTTGAGAAACTTCCAGGCTTGATTTAGCCAAAATAATTTTATAAAGATGTTATGAAATAAGGAAAACAAAGTCATTAATGCCTTGGTCAGCAGTAGTAGGTGCTAGTAAATGTAGTCCCATCCTCCCTCCCAGACTTCCTGAAGTTCCTAGAGATCTAAATTCCCTTGAAATTTCTCTCAGCATCAAAGACACGAATCCAGAACAGGTCCAAGTGGCTAATGCCAGTTGCACTTGGGCAGGTCGTCTTTTCAGGTGCCACCAGTAGATTTCTTCCTCCTCTCTGGCACTTATGCTTTCTTTTGGTGTCTTGATTGCACTCCAGCTGTTGAATCTAGAGCTTGTTCTGTGTGAACTTCCTGAGGCTGCCCCATTTAACCCACAGCCAGCCAGAGACCAGTCTGCTGGCCCAGAGTCCTCGTTAGCCATCCTCTTCTGGAAACACTGGCCTGTGCTCTTTTCTTCCCTTTGTTTGAGGAGGAGTGTTAGACCTACAATGTGTAGAGGGTCAGGGACAGTGTAACAGCAGAAGTGCATGGATCAGAGGTAGATCAAATTGACAGTGGCCAACTTAAGATGCTTAGCAATATTCATCCCCAGCCAAGAACAGTTAAGACGACAGTAATTAATCTGGTGCACCCAAGTGACATTCTTTACCATAACATTAAGTAGATGTTAAAAAAAAAAAAAAAAAAACTTTGAAACAAGGTTAAAAAAGATTAGCTGTAGTACACAATTTCCTTACCTGAAAAAGTCCTCTTTAAAACTTAGATTTGGCCTCATGAAATATAATGCAGCTTAATTTCCATTTAAAAATTGCATTTATATTCTTCATAAGACTTTCCCTGATGCTTACACATAGCTCCTTAGTTGCATCAATGGGAGTTGCTTATGGAACAGTTGCATTCCAGAGGTAAAAGGCATTGAGTTTAAATGCAACAAGTCTGTTTTCCAGGAAATGAGAAATGAAAGAGATTGTTTCCTTCCAAGTCTCTGCAAGCTTGTGAAAGGTGAGGCTGCATTTCCTGTTTAAGTCTTTGCAGTAAACACTCCTTGAAGCTGGGCCCTTGGAGACTGTAACTGTGGGTTGGGGCAGTAGCATTTTGAGAGTTGAAAAATGAATAACCTTAAATAATGTTTTCTTTCTCTCTTTAGGAGCATCTAAAGGCCTTCGATGATGAAATCAATGCTTTTTTGGATTATATGTTTGGGCCTCGAGGTGAGTGAGCTCTTGAGAGCAGGAAAAATGCCATTTAATTATAGAAAAGGATTATGTTGTCTCTGGTGTCTTGAAAACAGTATAGCACCCTCACCTTTAATGTCCTCCGAGAACATCCCACAGGGCCCGTTTCTCCTCCTGTTCGACCTCACCTGGTACTGGAGTTCTGGGAGCAGGAAGCAGGAACACAGTGAATGACATGCAGTGTTTTCCTCCAGTGTCTCTGTAGATTTTCCTCTTCCTTCTCCATTCTTCACTGCCCGATCATCTGTAGAATTCCTGCCTTTAAGCACAGGTGAACTTTCTCTTTCCCCCGGCCTTTGGAATGAGCTTGGAATTCTCAATCATTCCTCCATCACCAGCAATTTAGACTGTCATGGCTCCTAACAGTCTCTCTCCTTCCAATCATTCATGAAGAAGCATCAGCTGGGATAATATTCTAAAGACCCAAGTCATTACTGTGTTGTATCTTACAGTTCATCAGTGTCTTTCTACTACCCATGTGGTTGGACCAAACTTCTCGTCATGGACAACAGACCCTTGAATGATGTAGCCCCAGCTGCTGCGCCAGCTCAGTGCCAGTCTTCCTTACTCAGCTTTGACCCAGGCACTAGAAACATCTTTTAATTCCTCAGATACATACAGTTCCTTTATGTGCTGTTCCTTGAGCATGGACCTCCTCCCTTCCATTCCCGTTCCACTTCCCAGTCAGGTCTGCTCCTTCTCTCACTTGAGATAGATACCAGTTGAAACGTGCCCTTTACGCGAGGCTCTTTCCTCTGTGGCGGCTTCTCGCCAAGCTTCCTTCTCGGCACACTCCACTATTAACTCACAGCAGGTGTGCCATGAGGCGGAAACCAGGACTGCTTTTCTGCAGAGCTTATCACAGTTCTGGGAATGTAATAGGCACTAGATATTTTGCAAATGAATGAATTCTAGACAAAATGTTTTGTTCCACTTGAGCCTTGCTGGTTCACAAACCTGTAAAAAATCCATTGTTCTCTCAAGTTATTTCCTCAACTCTGTTAGGTGGAAAAGGAAGGAAAATTTCCTTTTTTCCCCTCTATATCCCCCTTAGATATTGTTTTGATCCCTCTCAACCCGCAGTTCTATACAGGCTTTGTAAACTGTTCCATGTTAATGTGATGATTTATATAGTTGTAATGATACTCTGTTGGAGTAGTGGCTCACGCATGAAATCCCAGTGACTTGGGAGGCTTAGGCAGAAAGATCACAAGTTAGAGGACAGCCTCAATAACTTAGCAAAACCCTGTCTCAAAATAGAAAAAAAAAGGCTGGGGATGTAGCTTAATGGTGAAGCAGCCCTGGGTTCAATCCCCAGTGTGAAAAAAAAAATTATACGTGTGTGTGTGTGTCATGGATTGCTTTTTAAAAAAAAAAAAAAACTTTTTCCATATTCTCTCCTCTTGGTGATCCCGTGGGTAACCAGGACAAAGGATCTGTCTATGTACCCACTTTCATGTATTCCATACCTTGCAGGTCTAGTGGGGGTAGAGGGTGCAACCTCTTGCCTAGGCCTGCAGGATACTGGGAGGAACTATGAATTAGGTGACTTAGGTGACTGGCTTTCTACTGGGCACATCCACTGGAGTCAAAAACAACGTCTCTGAGCCAAGTTCACACTGAACTTCGCGATCAGTAAGATCAGCATGATGTGGAGTTACGTGGACATGAGCTCTGTGGAGGAAAGGACTGCATTCGTTTTCTCAGTTGTGACAGTTTTTAATGGAAGCTCTCCGCTGTAGCAAGGAGGTTGTACAGTTGACAACTGAATCACACATCCTCCCCGGTGACAGGGTGCTCAGTATCTCGAATCCTTTTTCCTTCCTCAAGTGGCCCTAGCTTAAATTGCCTGGCATGAAACCTATTAAGCTTCTAGGTGTCCCGTCTTCTGATTATGTACACGTGGTATCTGTACCTGACACAGATGTAGAGCTAATATTTCTCAGGTTCTCAAAGGTAAGAAACATTACATTTGTTCCCATGTTTTTATTGGAGCATTATGACCATTCTTAAGAACTGTAGCAAAAATTTTTAGATACAACATTTTTAATAAGACCTGCTCAGTGTCTTCTAGTACATATACTAGAGTTGGAAAGGTAACAGCTTTCCAATTATTTTAGATGTGCTCTTTTCCTAGAGCAACTATAACAAAGTACTGCAAACTAGAGGGTTAAAATAACAAATTTATTCTGTTTTAGAAGCCAGCAGTCTGAAATTGAGGTGTTGGCAGGGCCTCTTCCCCCCTCCCCCCCCCCCCCCAGGTGATAGGGAAGAATCTCTTCAAGTTTCTGGTGGTTGTTGTCAATCCTTGGGGGGGTTCCATGGCTTGTTGATGCATCATTAGCCTCCACATGATTTTCTCTTCTGTGTCCCTGTATCCAAACCTCCCCCCTTTAGAGGACACCACTCATCCTAATTCAGTATGGCTCAACTTAACTCAGTTATATTTACAAAGACCCATTTCCAAATTAGGTGACATTCAGATACCAGGAGTTAGGGCTTTGTCATATCTTTTGGTGGATACACCACCATATAGAGATAGTATAAGTTACTTTTCCTCAAAAGCAAACTGGGGATAATATCACCTATATAATAGGATTGCTTTGAGAATAAACTGATGCAGGCTTCAGAACAGAATAAATGCTCAGTAACAGTTATAGCCATAATAAAATCATCTTATGTAAATGAGGAGCTGCAGTTATGAAAGAGTAGGAAAAAGCTCCCTTCAGAAGGCAGGGCCTTTTATCTGGGCAAGAAAGGATGACTTTTTTTAAAAACGTTTGAGTTGGATTCATTTTATGTGGGTGCTGAGGATCGAACCCAGTGCCTCAAGCATGCAAGGCAAGTGCTCTACCACGGAGCTATAGCCCCAGCCCACAAGGATGACTTTTTACACAGAAATGAACATCAGGAAGTGGTACATAGCACAGGCTTTGGTTATTAAGAGGGAGGTTGGTTATTAAGAGGGAGGTGGGTGAGAGTTGTTATCTTTATTGCCAGTGGGAAAAGTGTACAGAATTTAAGTAATGGCACCAGTCTCAAGGCACTTTTTCCCAAAAATGGTGCCTTCTTTAGGACAGGTGGTCTAACTAAAGGTTGGTAGATAGAGTGGGAGTAGTAGGAAGAGGGACTGAGACTAGGGGAGTTGATCAAGGAAAGGGCATTTCCTATTGGCAAAACCAGCTCCTTAAACTGTTTATGGAGAATAAAAACAGTATGCCATTTTTATAATTCTAGGTCTTTAAACAAAAAGAGCAAGTCATTGTGTCTACAATTGTTCCCAGGTGTTAACAGTTCTATGATGAAGCTATCACATGGGCTTTTTTCAGGTTTTTAAAGATTCAAGGCACTTGATGTACTCAGGCTCTCACCTCCCTGGTGTTCATTCTTCCTGTCTTTGTTTTCTTCTTTCACTTCTCAATCATCAGCTCCAAGCCTTTGCTATCTTTGGCTGTATTATAATCCCAGGATGCTGTTTAGGATAATATACCCACTCCTGGTTTATTGTATAAATGATTCTAGGCAATGTGGTTTTTAGAAATTAGGGTATAATAAAAATGTGCCTTCTGACTATCCAGATTTTCCCTATGGGGGATGGGTGTTAGCAATGAATAATGGGGGAGGTGGTGGATATGTAGCCTTCTTGGTTATCACATGGACAGTGTAATCACAGCCCTTGTTTTACTTAATAATGCCCCACTGTGCAAGATTGGTAGATTCAAATTTGCCAGCATCACTAAAAATAATCCATGCTGAGGTTGCTAAAATCTACAGTAAGAATAAATCTATCCATGAAACTGTAAAGGAAAAAAGACCAAAAAAGTTTTGACTATGGTATGTGGTGGTAAGTGCTTAGTGCAAATGAAAAAAGGCATTAAATTTGTGTATGTATCGTAAAAAAACAGTACATGGCGTTCATGGGGGAAATGCTGTATAAAAAAAGTATTGCTAACCAAAACCTCGTTCCTCGGGATTCTGTGTGCTTCTTTTCAGATTCCCGAGTCAGAGGGTGGTTCATGTTGGACTCATACCTGCCTACCTTTGTTCTTACTGTCATATATTTGCTTTCAATATGGCTGGGTAACAAATACATGAAGAACAGACCTGCTTTTTCTCTCAGGGGAATCCTCACCTTGTATAATCTTGGAATCACACTTCTCTCCGCCTACATGTTAGTAGAGGTAAGCATCTCTGGCCAAAGCTGGAGTTGGTGGCCCAGTGAATTTAGGAAGCAGTCACATCTGGCCTACCAGAACGCTCCACAGTTGCTGTCATTACTGTTAAGATCTCAAGAACTTGTTCCAGCATTTGACATGGTTCCTTCCCAAAGTTCTGGAAGTCTTTGTTTCTAACTTGAACTTTTCTTATTCCATTTTAGGCCTATTCTTTAATCCTTAGTCTAATTGCAATTTGGGATCATTTAAATTTGATGGGCCTTTAAAGATCATGTGTTTTTTAACCTAAGTTTTTTTTTTAGATGTCAAATTCAGTTAGTTTCACTGAAATGCAAATATACATGCATATAAATGTTATGTGTACACATATACATGCACACACCTACCCTTAAAGAATGCAATCACATCTTTGTCAGTTGTCCCTCAAGACTGACTTCTGGAGGCCCAAGTTGGCATTCCACTTGGCTCCAGTTGCCAAGCTGCAGCACACGCTAGACCCAAATGGTTTTACGAGAAGAGGAACACGTAATGATTGCCCTGCCTATTCAACCAGCAGTTACTATTATACTAGGCAAAATCTAAAAGTATTAAACTTGCTTTAGCAAAGATGGAGATACATGGAAACAAAAAGTAGGATTCATACAAGTTATACATGACTGATACTGACCAAAACTTCCTGCTGTGTTTGAATTAAATCCTTGCCTTAAAATATAGGTTTTCTCATCTGGAGTTTATTCTGTGCATTATTCTAATATGCACTCTTTTTTTGTAATATGGGGAATTAAACTCAAGTGTACCCTGTCATTGAGGAACATTCTCCCATTCCTTACCCTTTTTCTTTTTTGAGAGAGGGTCTGGCAATCGAAGTCTTCCTGCCTCACCTCATCCTCCCAAGTCCCTGGGATTATAGATGCACTCCACCGCACCAGACTTCTAATATGTGCCATTCTAATAATGTATAATAGCCATTATCTTGAGTGAGTGGAATGAATCTCTAATGAAATTTTAGGCATCAGAATGCAAGAGATGGAATTTGGGATCAGGAAAGCCATGCTGACAACTCTAAAATCCTAATTTTACCTGGTACTGAAAAAAGTTTTTATTTTGGATTCTTTACAAGATGAATTTTAGTGCACTAGATGAGTTTGCATGGTAGTGATTTATGGTTTAGTTTCTCTGTGTAGCAAAGACAGACTGTCCCTTAGACAAGGTAAAGGCAAGTTGCTAGATCTGTAAAAGCAAACTGAACTGAATTTGGATTAGGGCAGTGGATGAACTCTAGGGATGTTCTGGAGTGATTTAGTTTATACCTGCCAAGGCTAACCCTATTTGACAGACTTGTTTCATTTTCTTCAACATAGCTGTCCTGCACTCAGGAAGTTCTGTCTCACACTGGATCATTCGGTGGCTTGGCTGCTTATTCTGTTATGCAGGTAGCTCTGACAGGTGACACATGGATGGGATCAGCCTGACTAAATCTGGTTAAAGCAATCTGTCATAGAGAACGTGCCCTGGCTTGCTCCATGACTTTTTTTTAGCATAGAGAATAGCGATTAGAACTCCATGCTACAAAACTGCAGCCTAACCATAAATTTTAAAGTCAATTATTGTACACAAAGTTAAACAGCTTTCTTAGTTTGAAAAAATGCACCAACGTAAAATTGGCATATCCTCTAGAGTAGTCCCTAGATCTGTCTAGCTTGTCACTGTTCCCAGGTAAGAACAGGAGCTTACAGCCCTGGGATTTTTGGGGCTCTATTACCAATCGGGTCATTTCCCCATCAGGAAAATCCAAGTCTTGCTTCTTTCACTGGATTCATTTGTCCTGATAATCTTTAATTATGGTAACTGAAAGGTGTTTTCTTAGAAGGAAAGAGAATCATCAGAACAGTGAAAAAAAGACAAAGGTTCTGAAACGTTCTAAATGTTAGTAGTCCATCTCTTTTTAAGGTTTAGTGTTTTAACAGATCTATACCTTTACAATCTCTAGGACAGCAGGAAATATTGGGCCTTTTGCCTGTTATACTTTGTGGAATCAGAGCCAAATGCCTTATGTTCCAGAATCTTGCATTTTTTACAGAGAGAGAATTTAACATTTTCTTACCAGGTTGAGAAAGAACAGTGATTTAGGAAGTCTGATCTTTAGTCAAATGGTTCTCCCACCTCTAGCCGTGTAACTCTGAACAGACCATTCACCCATCAAGTACTGTACACAAGGTGTCTGGCAAAGACTCTAGACACAGAGGAGCTGGAAGCAGCATAGGTTTTGCAGAGCTCTGTTTGTGGTTTTTGTTTGTTTTGCTTTAAGAGTAAGAAGATTTTAACTAATCACGAAACTTACCAAGTAGCATAAATATGGTAAAGAAAATGGTTGATCTTTAAAATGACAATAGGTATATATTTCATGAAATTATACAAACAATACATTAAATTTTAGTGGTTTCCTTACACTTTGGGTGGGGGGCAGTACTCAGGATTGAACTCAGGGGCACTTGACCACTGAGCCACATCCCCAGCCCTATTTTGTTTAGAGAAGGGTCTCACTGAGTTGCTTAGCACCTTACTTTTGCTGAGGCTGGCTTTGAACTCATGATCCTTCTGAGCCACTGCAATTATAGGCATGTGCCCAGCTTTCCTTACTCATTTTTTATTCAATTAATTCTACATCTTAGTTGTTGAAATAGATGACTAGATGATTACACAAAATTTTGTAAAGAAAACCACTAGTTTCAGTTTAACCTCAAGAATTAAATCCCTTGATAATGTTTAAGGACAGGGTTGGATTAAATCCAAAATCTGGGACATTTGTACTCAAACCTTGAATGGTTGCCAATGAGTGTAATACACTCCATTATTGTCATGTATATTAAAAAAAAAAAAAAGGAAATTGCTTCCAAATTCTTATGTTGAACCAGCCCTCCTTTCTTGATTCCTTGACAGCTCATTCTCTCCAGTTGGGAAGGAGGCTACAACTTACAGTGTCAAGATCTCACCAGCGCTGGGGAAGGCGATATCAGGGTGAGCTGTTGATAACAGATGGTTGCCTTGTTTCTATTTCTCACTGAAAGGAGAGGAGGCTCTTCCTCCACATGTGAGGGTGGGCTGGGATGAGATAACGGGTTCCTGTTCCAGTAGAAATGTTTGGTAACAAAAATATCTTCTGAATGTTCATCTGAAGGGCACTGGCTGAATAAACCATGGCACATCCACAGAATGGAACAAGGGCGTCTGTTACAGAATCATCTCGAGGTTGCTTTGCTTGCAGACCATGGTTACTGTATAGCACCTATAGTCAAGAGATTATGTGTATTTACTTATATTCTTGAAACAATGGCAGGATAAACCAAAAGCTATTCAAAATTGTTTGAGAGACAGAGGGATAGGGATGGAAGCTAGAGTCAGTGTACCTTGTGTTATATTTTGGAACTATTAATTGTTTTATGTAATTATAAAAAGAAAGTAAAGCATCTTCCCCCAAAAAAATTTAGAAACAAATCAATGAGTATACCTGTAATTAAGTAAGGACATGGCCACTTAAAAGCTTTTGAGTGGATGTCCCTAATGAGATATCTTTAAAAGGATTTTTTGTTGCTATTACTGTTCTGAGACTCTTACAGGGACATTTTAGGATAAAATATGTAAGTTATATAAGTAACTAATATTTGAAACAAAGAAAAGACATTTTTAAAAGTTAAACTAAAACCCAGTAACCATACAAATTAGAAATAATAAAATTATATTCTTAAAAAATATTTGCTTTGTCTATGACAGCCCAGGGCAGTGAGCCATGCTTATCCAGATGTGCTCTCAAAATATAATTTTCTACCCCAAGGAATGAGGGTTGTTAGAGCTAAGTGGCCAAATTCCAGTTTGGGACAGAAAATGTATTTCAGGTAAACCCAGGACATCCAGTGACCCAAAGCAAAGAAACATTATAAGCATCATGACATGAAGGGGCCACCTTGAAGGAATGCCCACTGGCAATGGGACACTATCAAAAAGAACATTGACTGGGATGGACTGAAACATACTAAATGTATTTTTAAAATTGGAGTTTAAAAAAAACTTATGAAAGTTGCCAGACCATCTACTCATTTTGCCTTTTATATCCAAGTTTCCAAATAGATGAAAAGGGTAATCTCTGTTGTAGGAAAAAAAAAAAACAAATAACAGAAAAATTGCCATTTTTAGCTCCTACATATCCAAGCTCACTGCCCCTCTGAACATCACTGGAGCAGCGAGGAAGCACCAGAAGATAGGAGGGAAGTGATCTTGAAACAACAGAAATCCTACCTGGCAGACCTGCGTGTCGACAAATAATGGTCTACACCCCAGCCCCTGACAAAGAAAGTGGTGGGAATTAGAATCGAGAAAACAAGAGTCATACTGAAAATTCTTGAAATTCAGTGATGAGTAGCTAGTGTTCATTATTTGGTATATTTACAAAAAAATAATTAAAAATCTAATTGCAAGTTAGAGATATGGCAGAGATGGTTAAAGAAAATAAACATCCAAATCCAAAATATCAGGAATTCTGTATAACTGATGGAAGGAACAAGATGAGAAACTTTAAGACCATATCAATAAAAATTCAGTGCAGACCTTGTTTGGATCCTGATTTAAATAAGAAAGGCTATTAGAAGATATTTAGAAATTAATTGTATTTGACAAGATAATGACTCATGGTTTGTTAAAATAAAAGTTCATTAGGAATATTTATAGGTAAAATGATGTCTTGAAATTGTTTATAATGATCTACCCCACCCCACAAAAAAGTTTTAGGAATTGAGAAAACTAAAATTGGAGTCATATTGAAAATTCTCAAAAGTTTAAGGATGGACACAGTTATTCTTCCTGTATTAGAGAATGTTTGAAATTTCTGTAATAAGAGACTTTGATGGGTTATCAATAAAAGATGATATGTTTTAAAGTAAGATGTAGGTTTCTCTATACCCATTTTATTTCTAATGCATTATTACAGGCTAGTGCATATTGGGAAAAGAGTTTTCTCAAAGTTGCCATTCTAAATGTATTAATATTTCTGAAGGCTAATTGTTCCAGATATTAAGATGAATGCCACTATCTCATGAATGTCTTGAGAAGTAGACAGTATAGCATGATAATCTAATTTCAAAATTCCTATTATCTAACCTCTTCAAAAATATGTTTAAATCACCAAGCTCCTTTTGCGGAAGCTAGAGCAAAATAAGGGGAAAAAGTGGGGGGCCAAGGTGGGGGTCAGATATTATAGGAAGATCAGTGGAGTAGGAGGAGGGACTGGAAAAGGGAGGAGATGCAGAATGAAGTGGACAGAATTACGCAAGCATGTATATCACAAGTGAATTCCCCATTTATGTATATCTATAAAGCACCAATTATAAGAGGGGCTGTAGCTCAGTGGTAGAGCACTTGCCTTGCATGTGTGAGGCACTGGGGTTCGCTCCTCAGCACCACATAAAGATATTGTGTCCATCTACAACTAAAAATATTTTTAATAATAATAATAAATGTAAGACCAGTGGGGAATGGGGGTGGGGAGGGAAAGAGGAGGCACTGAGGACTGAAATGGACAAAATTCCATGCATGTATATTGACATAAACCCAACAATTAGGAATAACTACAATACATAAATAAACACATTAAAAACAAAAAACACCATGCTCTTAACTAAAGAGGTATTTCTAGGTAGATAAGACTATGTAAAGGGCATTGGAAGGAAAGCAAATTGGTAATCATGACCTACCAATGTTAGTAAGGACAAAGTACTTCTTGACTTTTAATCTCTTCCTCTCAGAGGCATAAATGATGTAGTCAGACTTTCTTTAGGTAATATAATGTTTGAGAGAAACAGGTACATTAGAGCACAGAAGAATTATAATTTAGTATAACAAACAGTAATGATCTGTTGAGCTACATACTGCACAAGTCTGAATGAGTCTGCCTCTGAGTTATATGCAGTCCAACAATAGGTTCACAACACTTGCTAGACTTTAATGGTGGTTGATTATAGAGGTGTAGGCAATTAATTTAAGACTATACATGAAGCCACTGGTTCCACCAAAGGAAAGGAAAAGACTGGGCAAGTTCCAGAGGAGGTGGTGGCATTGAAGGAGTATTAATAAAGGGTGACTGACCTGGAGGTAGGACAGGAGTGTTGGATGCAGGAAAAAGAGTCCTTGGCACTCGAGTAGGAGAATGCAGATGACTTACATGGTACCAGACTACAGTGATGAGGAATCCACTTAGTTCTGTAGGTGCTGAGTGGTAACTTGGACACATAGGTATTTTGGGAAGAAAATCCGACTTTCACTTGAGCAGGGTATACTGCCTAGAATGAGGAGAAACTGGAGGCAAAGACTCTGGACTAGCAATAAGTAGTCCGAGAACAAGACATACGCTGGTAATGTACAGATGGTGTATGGAAGGCAGGCTGAGCGGTAGGACTATGCAGGGACATTTTCACTTCTCACACCTTTCTCCCCTTTTTAAATTTTTATAGGTAGCCAAGGTGCTATGGTGGTACTACTTCTCCAAATTAGTAGAGTTCCTGGACACAATTTTCTTTGTTTTGCGAAAAAAGACAAATCAGATCACTTTCCTTCATGTCTACCATCATGCCTCCATGTTTAACATCTGGTGGTGTGTCTTGAACTGGATACCCTGTGGACAGAGTAAGTTCCCTGCTGGTTTCTGGTCCTATGCCATGGCTCTCACAGGCCACCCAAGGGCCTGCATATTGGGCGGGGAGTGGGGCTGTGGAAGCAGGTGCTCACTAGTGGCCTTTGAATTTCTATCCTTTGATGCTGGCAAAATTTGAATGTAATTTTAAGTTTTAAAAATATTTTCTTTCCCATACACCAGATGTCAGAAGGCAGACACACATACCCAGCCAGAGCAGACCAACTCTGGTATAGGTGCTATTTGGCTCCTATGGAAAGTGGCACCTTCAAGAGTTGCCACTTGGCTGTGATATAGATAGTTATTTCAGCTCTTAGGGCTTGTTTTTACATTCTGAAAAATTAAGATAACATCTTTGTGTGACCCACCAGAGCAATGACTTTCAATTTTGTTTTTTAACTGAGAACTGCAGTACAAAATATATTTTATTTCACAATCCAGCCCACTCATTCATATTATGTATTGTGTGTGAAACAAAAATTTCATTAAATATATACTGTGGCTTTTTTTTTCATATTAAAATCAGGGATTAAACCCAGGAGCATTTAACCACTGAGCTATATCCCCATCCCTATTTTGAGAGAGGGTCTTGCTAAGTTATCAAGAATGGCTTTGAACTTGCAATGCTCCTGCCTCAGCCTCCCAAGTTGAGGGGCTTACAGGTGTGCACCTCACTTGGCCAACTGTGGCTCTTCCTGATATACTGTGGTATATTCAATTTTTCATGAAACAAAAATTTCAGGTAACAGTATTCACTGTGGGGTTTTGTTTTTTTGTTTGTTTGTTTGTTTTTTGTAAATTCTCTTTCACTTGTCAAAATACAAAAAGCAGACAGTTCTCACTGTACTGACTGACTTCATTACTGCATCAGTCACATACTGCAGTTTGAGAAGCACTGAGCTGGAAAGAACAGGAGTTTCTATTTTATAATGTGTTGAAAATATCCTATGAAAAATCAGAACAGGTAAAATTTAAGAAAATTCTTTTGTTTTACAACTCAATGTCTTTGTGGAAATAGAAAACAATCCCAAGAAAATTTGGAGTGCAAATGTATGGAGCCACATCCTGGTATACCCACTGTGAGTTAAAAATTTCATAAGTCAAAAACACACTTAATACAACCAACCTGTCAAACATCCCAACAGCAGCACAGCATGCTGGTAGTGTGGGTTGTTCCTCCTGCGACCCCAGGGTTGCCTGAGAGCTGCAGCTCCCCAGCATTATGAGTATTACAGCACAGACCACTAGCCCCCTGGCTAACACTCAGAATCCTAGTTGTGGTTTCTACTGACTGCATCACTTTCACCCCATCACAGGGTTGAAGTAAAGCTATCAGGTCAGAGACCACTTTATATCACTGACTGAAGATGCAAATAAAAACTAGTGTCAGGAGGGAAACTGGTAGGGAATGCAGTAGGCAGAAAGGAATGCTTTCCACACTCCTCCTAGACAGAATCTACTTTTTTACAAATTTGATACTTAAAGAAGACAAATAACTATCAAAGGAGAATTGCAAAGGTTAAGTATTTTTTGTCAAGTTTCATTACAAATTAGTACCTAAATCTTAAATCATTGTGTAAAAAGTCCTATAAATAATGTGATAGTTTCCACTCAAAAGAGTATTATAAAAACCTAAGCAATGATCATTCACTAATTGATAGAAATAAAAACTCAAGTAAATATCACTAACGTGTCTCCTGATACTCACACTATGTCTGTTTTCTATATAAATCAAGTGTCATAACAGCTTGTGCACCCTGGACAAGCACTCTTCCCCTGAATGATAACCTGCTGCCCACAGGAGGCTTTTTCCCATCCAAGGTTTAGTCAAAGCAAAGATAGTTCTGGTTGAGAGGAACTCTGCCTCTAGCCCTAAGCTATCTGCTCCCCCACCCCCATTAGCTATTGTAATGACAAAGAGACAGTTAAAACTTTGCAAATAAGAACTGGGTGGCACTCTGGCTGAAAAAGTATCCCAGTTTACTTCCATCCAGAAGTTTCTGCCAAATCTTAGGGCAATGGCACAATAATTGGGGAATTTATCAGTATGAAATTCATCATATGATTGTCCTTTATTAATTTTTAGTTATTACGCACAGGAAGAATATCACTAGACAAAGAAGAATGAACAGTCTTATTTTATAAAATAGTAACTCATGCTATACTTTCCTAGGTTTCTTTGGACCAACACTGAACAGCTTTATCCACATTCTAATGTACTCCTATTATGGACTCTCTGTGTTTCCATCCATGCACAAGTACCTTTGGTGGAAGAAATACCTCACACAGGCTCAGCTGGTATGTCACTCCCAGCTCTCTCCACATGGCTCATGGAGGAGCAGGAAGTAGGAATCTGTCTTTTGCATGTGATGAGGATGCCTATTTTTCTCTAAGAGCCTTTAATAATTATTTTGTGAATTAAAATGTTTGTATATATACAATTTATGATGAGAAGACCCTTGCTGTGAAATATAGATGAATATTTTTTAAATTATAAGCTAAACATTTTTATTTAAATAACTTTAGCTGCTGCTTCTTCATAAGAAACTTGTATTGGTGATTATATAACATTGCCATTACTAAGTTCAGATAGTTCCTGGATAGGATAGTGGGCTGCCTCAGCATTGTGCTTGTTTTATTCCTGCAAAATGTAGAGCATGACAGGAGTTGACCTAACTGAGGAGGGCCCCGGGCCCTGGGGGAGCGGAACTCACTCACTCTGGCCCTCTGTGCCCCTGCAGGTGCAGTTCCTGCTCACCATCACCCACACGCTGAGTGCCGTCGTGAAGCCCTGTGGCTTCCCCTTTGGTTGCCTCATCTTCCAGTCCTCCTATATGATGACACTAGTTGTCCTGTTCTTAAATTTTTATGTTCAGGTATGTGAAATAGAAATATTTGTAGCAAAACACCGTATATGTGCACTTTGCGTTATATGTTTGTAATTTTACTGATTAAATATTAAGCAGATGCTTGTGGATGAATTTAGATGATGGGTCTGTAAATGAAAAAGTAAAACTTGCATTCTGATTTCTCTCCCCATGGCCTCCTACTCAAAGAAGAACCACAGTTAATAGTCTAGGGGGCATTCTACTAAAACTTCATGTGCATTGCATTGAAAAACATTTATCAGAAATACCGAGTTATATTGTTTGCATCATGTATTTGCATTCTGAAAATTAATCAGGTGTGAGACAGATCTAGGAAATTTTCATGAATGGAGAAAAAATGGGACATTATTTTTTAATATATCATAGTGTTATAGATCATTTGGATAAAATTCCTTAAGGCCAATTAGTATGGAAAGGTTACGCTGGCTTTTTGTTTATTAAGTGTCATTTTCTTTTTAACAATTAGAGCTTCAAAATGCAATTTCAAAGTGACTGTTTTGCAAGAACCTATGAAAGCTATGACAGAGCATAGGCCTCAGCGGGTTGTAGATTTTAAATTGCACTCCTTTGTGGGCTGGGGAAATGGAATGCTTCCTTTAAAAAAAAAAAGGCATATTTACATTCAAAACAGTACTTCTGAAATTGTATTCATTTGCGTTTTCTTTTGAACAAGAAATGCTCTTATTTTTTAGTTTGCTGAACAAGAGAACTCACCATTGTTATATGCAAATACAGAGCCCAACTGGAGGACTAAACCTTTGACATCTTTTCAGATTTTGTGTTTCTGAAATTGGACTGACTAGGCTTTGTCTCTTAAGAAATAATAGTCGACAGACCCAAACAAAGCCACACAGAGGAGTGTTAAAGGAAAGTGGGGAGTTTGGGGTGCTGGATATTAACCCTGGGCAGTAAGTAGAAGCCCAGCAGCGGTAGATAATAGCAATGGAAGCCTGAGCCCCACATGCTGGCTCAAATCAAATCTCAGTCCTGACGCTGAGTTTGTAAGTACAGTCTTGACTCTTAAGTTATTTTTTTTTAAAGCAATAGTATTAACTATCATCTCATTTTTACTTTTTATCATAGAAGGAAGGCTATGCCCAGCTGGGGTTATGCTCAGTGGGGAGGCCTGGATTCCAGCACCAAAAATGGAGGATACTCTGAAGCCAATCAACCCAATAACCCAGATGTTGGTCTTTTAGAATAAAATAGCACTTTTTCACTTGTAGTATCTTTTTAAAAAATTATATCCTTTCCAAGTAGTATCTTTTTAAAAAATTATATCCTTTCCAAGTAAGAAACTAATGCAGAAAAATTTCAGTGCTAATCCCTTAATGTGGAAATCCTGACCTAATATAAGATGAAGGGAACCTCTCATTAACATTCACACATTTGTCTAGCTTTTACCCTGTTTTTAACTAGGGGCTTAAACATGGTTATATTTCAAACACTAATTCCTAGGAGAAAGTCCAGTGCCCAAGAAATTCATGGACTGTTTTAACCATATGCAGCCTTAGAGATAAGGTCTTACTAAGGAATCTTTTTTCTTTCTCTTTCCTATATATACACACCCAACAGACATACCGAAAAAAGCCAATGAAAAAAGACATGCAAGAGCTGCCTGCAGGAAAAGTCAGAAATGGTTTTTCCAAAGCCTGCTTCGCTGAAGTGAATGGAGTGATAAGCAAGAAAGCCCAATGACAGAGTGACAGGGAACGCATGCCTGGCACCAGCCCAACAAGTCCGCTTGTTTTAAAGCAAAGACTGAATTGAAAGTTGTATGTTTTAGCATAAACTAATTTCTTCTGAGTTTATAAAATCATTTGTACCAGAATGTATTAATATATTGCTACTAGGTTAATCCGTTAATGCTTTGGTCAGCATCGAGGCGATGCTGGACCCTGAAACTTTAGAGCAGATGCCCTTCTCCCTCCTCCCGCTGCGCAGACTCACCCTTCCTAGGTGCACCCTGTAACGCCGCCGCACACACATCCAAGGCCAGGAGGTGTGGGGCACTGTCATTCATGGCAAGTCTTCAAGTGGAGTGTTGTTCAGATTAAACTGTCAAACAAAACGTTGTATTGTAAATATCGACATGATCTAATATACAGTAAGCAATAATCGTCAGTGCATAAAGGAATCAACCCCAGAAAATATTAAAATAGGATCAGAAAGTGAAGACAAAAATCTAGTCAAACCTCTCAGGCCAGAGCCTTGTTTATCAAACTGTCACAACCACTTCTGATTCTAAATTAGTAATCTGGCAATGAAATTTGTTAAGCTTTTGTTTAGAATAACTAATCTTAAAATTATTTTGAAAATTTTCTGCGAAATCCTCATTTCTCAGGGGCTTTGGATACAGGAGTCTCCCTGTTTTAATTTGGTTTCCTTAACAATTTAAATATTCATGTCCATCTCCCTTGTTAGCTAGCCTAGGTTAGTAAAGGTCTGAGCTCCAGACTAAAGCTGTCTCTCAAACTGGCTGCTTGTTTCTTTGTGAAGAAGGACTACAGTCCAGCCCACCCTTTTCCTACAATGTCTGTGCCACCGGAATACTTACAATCAGAATGCACAGAGAAATGGGGGTAAATCAGACTTGTCTGTTTTTTGTGAGCCTACTCATGAATATTATTCCAAATCCTTGCTATCAATCTTTGCAGGTTATTTAAGTATTTGAAAATAGACAGAAAACACTGTCATAGTTTAGAAAGGCTCTGGCTCTGAGCCACAGGCTGGTGATGAGCACAGTGACAGTGCCAGTTTGGCAAACTCGACACATCCTTTCCCAGCTCAGCACTGATCTCTGAGAACAAGCACAAAGGCCAAGGCAGCACTGAACATTCCCTTTCTCCCTCAGTGCTGGGCTGTTAATCACTATTAACTGTACCAAGAATGAAAACAAAGGATTAATTTATCTTCTTTCCCATCTCAGTTTTTTTTTTTTTAAGATAAAAGTTTTTAGGTCATAACATTAAAATTCTCACCACTTTGCCAGCCATGGTGCCATTCAGTCCCTTCTGTCCCCTCCCGAGCTTTAGTTTTAAATTCTCCCTGGTTGAAAACTAGACCAACTTTTTAAACATTCATCTCACATCAGCTCCCCTTTCTCAGGACTCTGGCCTGTGTGGTTGAAAGGTGACTAACGCTGCATGGACTTCAGGTGAATTCTTCCTGCCCTGTGAGAGCTTTTCTCTTCTGACTGGTCATTTCTGTGAACAGACCCTCTTCCTGTCTCATGCCTCCTCACTCTTTCTTCTTCACAACCCTGTTCTGGTAATGGGGTTTGAACTCAGGGGCACTCTACCACTGAGCCAAATCCCCAGCCTTTTTTGAGCCAAGATCTCCCTAAGTTGCCCGGGCTGCCCTCAAATTCTCAGTCCTCCTGCCTCAGCCTCCTCAGTTGCTGGGATTCCAGGCATGTGCCACACACCCAGCTGCTCTACTTCCTAAATGGTTGTCAAGAGCTGACTTGCTCTAGGGTGCTCAATCTCACTTGCATAATTCATCACTTTAACTGTATTTAGTGTCCTGTTCACTCCCAGGAATTTATTTTTAAAAAAGGGCTAACTTGGAGTATGACTGTTACTGCTCTTCTATGACAAGATGCAGACTTGACTAAGGAGAAAGTCCCTTAGAGAAACCAGGTTCTGTTTTAGTTCTCAGACACAGGCTGAAATCTATTACCAAAGTACATTCCAGGTAAATATGAAACTCGGGAGATGACATTGTACTCAGCTTGTGTTTGTATCATCAGCTTATCGTCACTGTATTCAGCTTACTCTTACTTGCCAACGAGGCCCTGAAGTCTCACCAGGACCACACCTGCAATGTTGGATGTTTTCACGGGCTTCACATCTGTAGAGCACAGAGGGAGTCACCCTTCGGCCGGTGGACAGTCAAGCAGCTGTCAGCACATGGGCAGTGTGAAACTGCTAAGTGGAGGTGAATTCTACTAAAGCTTAATAAAACACTCAGAGCCTTAAACCATTCAAGGGCTGATAAAAAGTACGCAGAGCTATGAGATCTGAGCCACAGAAATTCAATCAGGTAAATATTTTAACCTGTTATTAAGTGCTATGACTTTAAAAAAACATTTAAAAATGTTTGATGTGATTTTTCTAAAGCATAACTGTAAAAGAAATACTATCTATATAATCTTAAGAAATAGAAAATGTTTTTACAAGTCAATTTCCACCTACTTGTGGGAATGAAAACATATATAAATATGATAAAGCCTGTTTGTTAATAATTCCCCCAAATTTTTAAAACTAAAATTGATTTGTTTGCTGAATAGAATTAAAAATTTTTCAACCTATCAAAAGCACTTATTTAGACATATTGGTGGATAAAGTCCCCTCCATCCCCATCAGAGAAGTGTTTCTTACCTTTAAAGAAAAACAGTACTTACTGAAATGGAAAAAAAAAAATTGCATTTTGTATGTAAGAGACGATTCTAGTTTTTCCCCAATATTTATGTATCATTTTATGTTTCTGAGGGTACTTATTTAGAAAATAAGCATATCACTTTCTTATTTTCCTTTGAAAGTGTATATAATCTATATAGTATCATGATTAGGGTGGACAGGGAGACAGAAGAGCCATTTTTCTTTGTAGATAAAAAGCATTCTGTATGATATATAATAAATTGATTTTTACATTAAAGCAAAGCATGTTGCAATTTTTCTTTTTTGGCTCAAAGAAGTTAAAATGTGTGTAGTATTCCAAGTGACCTATCACTCAGGGATTTTTTTTTTAACCAATAAAATGATATTTACACAATTAATTTCAGATGTTTAATTCTTCATTTCAATGAGCAGTGGACTTTTAGGTAATGTTACCTAAACATAGTAGTCAAATACCAAGTTGAATTATTTCAGAAGATGGTCATTCACCTGAAAAAGTTAAGACCAATTAGATAAGAAAAGCCAAAACAATCACAACAAATTACTATACAGCATAGAATAACTGAGGAAGGAGCACTAGATTGGAGTCAAAGATATGAGGCAGGAATGGTACTTGCCCCTGAAAGCCAGGACTGTCCCTTCATAGATGCCTGACCACATCAAGGTGGCCACCTCCACTCAGGAACAGGGATGTAAATGAGACTTAAGGGCCGATCACAGGTTGGTGGCTGTCAATGTGGAGAGCAGAGTTGTGACTTAAGGAAAACAAGATAGGTCTCAAAACAAAAGATATAAGAGATGTGCTTGGAATCTCGTTAAAAAGTCACCTGAGGTCCTGGGTAGTAGCAATGGAGTCTTCAAGGACAATCAAGCCCCAGACCTTGGTGATGAAGGTGGCCTGTAGAAGCCAGGCCCTGTGTTATAGCTACACATACCTGGCTCAGGTGTCAGAGGTACTGGTGAAGATCTGGGGAGATGAAGCTGCTCCAGGCCCCACTGTGGCCTGAGCAACTACACAAGTGCACTCAAAATGGCAGCCACCGTCCTCTGCCTTGAAGTCCCCCAGGACACTCTCCATAGCCCACTTTAACCAGGGAACACAGGAATGAGAATTCTGGGCACAGGTGTTCAGCCTAGCCAAGCTGACACATTAATAAAGCCTCCACATCCTGTTATAATAGCAAAACATATGCCTGCAACATTGACAAAATGATTCTTCGCCTGATCAAACTTTAGTTAGGATCCTGAACCTTCTTGGCTCACCTGTATATTTCCTTATCAACTCAGCATTAGCAGAACTCTAAGTCATATCAATGAGAACCCTCCACTCTCAGTATCTGATTATCCTTGATATCTAATCAGGTTCTTCATCCTCTTCATCCTCTGCCAACTCCCAGGCGTCTGATTATACTGGCCTATCACCAGCAAGAATCCTGTTAGGCTTACCTAGAATCCCCTGGCTCGATATTTTATTTGTAATTTTTTATCTACTGATTCCTATCCTGCTCCCTGGCTATAATTTCCACTTGCTCTTGCTGTATTCAGAGTTGAGCCCAATCTTTCTCCTCCTTTGCAAAATCCCCTATCAGTGGGCCCCCACCTACCACAATGGGCCTAAACAAAGTCAGCCTTACCAGGTTTTAGCAAGTGTCACTGAGTAGTTGTATTTTGTTTTGTTGTTTTTTTAAACACCACATAAAGAAATCCTATGGGCCCCGAACAGAAACTGAAAAGACAAGTTCCTAGCTTACTGAGCCCCAGTAAAAGGTGCTTCAGCCAATATTGACCAGATCAGAACCTCTCCATTATCTGGGCAGTAACAATATCCATGTCATAAATAGGAGAATCAAACCATAAGTGAACAGAAAAGAAAGTACTGACCACGTACAGCTGGGCCTCCTACACAACAAATCCCAGTCTATATAGAAAGAGGTTTCCCATCTATCCTTGACTTATGCAAAGCTTTGGATTTGCATAATTTCTTTTCATGTACAAGTTTTCATAATAGCATCAAAATTATCCTCTCATTGACCCTTAACCTATATATTCTTGGCACTCAGACTGCTCTCTACCCCACTTTCACTCACATAGTGCATTCATCTGCTTCTGTGAGAGACCACAGCTATACTGGCCTAAAGACACTGTTATTAGGATTCTCTGGAGAGCATACGTGCGTGTGCGCGCGCACACACACATGTACATACGTACGTGTATATGTACACACATAAATATAGATGGAGAGAGACTGCCTTTCAGCATTTGGCTCACGTGACCGTGGAGGTTGGCCAGTGAGAATCGGCAGGGCAGGTGCCAGCAAGCTGGAAATCAGGCCCTGTGTGAGGTGGTGGGGCTGCAGGCAGCCTGGAGGCACATTAAGGTTCTCACTTTAGGGAGAGAGGCATGACGACAGTGCTGTCACAGCTTGTTTTAGAAACTCTCAGTACTAAAGGGGTGGCTTCAACACAGGGTGAGGGAGGGGGACAGAAGATAAAGCTGACATGTATGGCCTTGACTGTCACTGTTAAAACGGGAGCCACCACAGCATTCAACGGGGGTGACTGGCAGATGGTGTGCACCAGCAGGCACAAGTGGAAAACCTGGGGTCACTGGGGAAAAGAGGAGGAGAAGCCGGGGGCAGAGGCATCATGGTGGCAGTTCCCCTACAGGAACCGAAGCTCTGCCGGATAGTATCGGAGCTTTCACAGGGTGATGGCAAGAAGCTTTTGCAGGGAGAGAGGAGACCAAGTTGAGGATGCTCAGGTTGGGGACAGCAGTGGGCAGAAGTGCTGTGGGCTCAGCAAGGACAGGCTGTGGAAGCACAGGACAAGAGTAGGTGGTGGACATGCTTGGTCTGAGGTCAGATACATTCCTCCAGGAGGAGTCAACAGGCAAATGCAAATACTCTGGGCCCCGGAAGCCATCTGCAGAGAGGGCAGGAAGACCATCGAGTGAAGAGAAAGCCTGGTTCTTCCCAGGGAGGAGCTCATCTAAGGAACGTGTAAGAGCATGAGCCAGAAATGGGAACTGAGGGGAAAGGGACATTCCAAAAGCCAAGTTAAAGAGAATATTAAACAGTCCAACGCAGCCAGGAGGTCAGGTGACAACCCAAAAAGGAGGAAAAAAAAAAGAAGGTGGTCCAGTCCTTGGGAGCAGCTAGAAAATTAACAGGAGGCTTGAGTGAATGGGAAGTCCTGGGCGGGGGGTGGGGGGGGAATCAAGCAGGGTACACGAAAATCATTTGTAAGATCTGGGGATATAAAGGACAAGAGGGGTTCCTGCAAGGGCGGAGGAGCGAAGGGGCACATATCCTAGGAATCTGAGTCAAGGCGCAGGTGGCAGGTAAGGACAGATGGGCTGCAGAGGAGGAAGCAGCAAGGAAGTGAGGGAGGAGGAAGGGACACCTCAGACCCATGGTTACCAGGGTAAAACCAGAACTCACCATCTGCCCCACACTCAGCGTACGACTTGGAACAAAGCCCCCACTGAGGCAGCCCACCAGGGAGACCCCTGGGCCTGGGAGAGAGACGGCCTGACTCTCTCTTTGTCACAGGTAAAGGAGGTGGGGAAGGAGCTAGGGGTGGCAGGAACACAGAGAGGGGACAATCTGCTTGGCTTACCTCAGGGGTCAACCTGCTCTGCAGGGGCAGTAAGCGGGGACACAAGGACAAAGCAAATACAAGAGCTGCTGTGGAAGAGAGGCTCAGAGCACAGGGGAACATCAGAAATGACGACTAAGGCTGCAGCCACACACAGTAATGGCAATTCCTCCATAGAAGTGGGTCCAGTGAAAGGCAGCGTTTGGTCCCCAGCTGGGATAGACCCGAAGGGCCATCCACAGCCACCAGGGTTGGGGGTGAGACAGCTGATGCTTCCCAGAGGGCTGGATGGTCCAGCCTTCTCTCCAAGCTGCCGAACACAGTGCATCATGCCCACATTCCACTACCCAACACGCCCCTCTGCAGGCTGGGCCCGGGCAGGGCAGCGCACCCTGCAAAGCTGCCTTCCACGTCCATTTGTGTGACTGTTTCATTAACATCCAGCTCCCCATTGGGCTGCTGGCCCCCTGAGAGCCATCAACACTGAATTCCCATCACACAGCAAGGGCTCCATGATGATTTGCTAAATAAGACACAACTGAACCCTTGGGGATGTTTTATAAGAGATGTCCCTCACCCCCGTGGTTGTTCAAGCTTGTAGTTTTTGCACCTTCATCAATCCAGCCTCAAAATCTGCTCTTTAAGCCTTCACCTGCCCTAGTTGCTCTTATCTGCCTCCTCTTTTACATTCACAGAATTCTATTCTAGTTGAAGTTTTTATTGCTGCAACAGTCTCCCCCAGTATGTGGAATTCAGCCTTCGCACTGCTACCAGGTTAGTCTCCCTGAAGCACCATGTTCATTCTCTCATTCCCTACCCAAAGTTCTGATCCACAGAGTAGGTCCAAGCTTGGACCTAGCAAAATTTAATTCCCACTCATACTCCATAGTATCATGGCCTCAAATTCTGCATTTTTCTGTTTCTATATTCATATTAGTCTCTCTTCTCTCATCCTAGAAAAAAATCCTCCCCATCCTTCAAGATCTATTTCAAATGGTACCTCTCTTCCAGGAATCCATTTCCAATCACCCAACAAAATTGACCTCACCCTCTGTCAGCCCTGACAGGGCTCAGCTTACACCTTATTGATGGCACAAGTCACACAGCCTTGATGTACATTGACCTTGACATCTTACTGTCTTCTGCAGACTGAGTTCTTAATAGCCAAAATCATGTCTTATCCATCCTAACATCTTCCATGTAAGTTTAACTCAAGGATTTGTATAGTGCTCAAATATATGCTCCCTAGTCACTGGAAGCCATATAAATTCCTAAGATATCCTTCAATGGGGACAGTCAATGCAATAGCATGGAAATTCATAAAACTCCAAGTTATCAGAAATCGTGAGTCTCAAACTAGATACACCTAAATAAAATAAGGTTATTTAACTTCACAAATTCTTTGGACATAAAAAACAGGTGTTTTTATGCTCTTTAAAGCTTATAATAATGGACTAAAACATAGCTCATTAAAAAAGTTCTAAAGAAGTAGGGCTGGGGTGTAGCTCAATGGTAGAATGTGCTTGCCCAGCACACACAGGGGTCCTGGGTTCCATCCCCAGCACAGGGGGTGAAAATCTAAAAGAAAAAGATGACAATAAAATTGGGATTCTAAATATCTGTTTTAGGCAAATTATAAGCTACATCTAACTAACTTGCATTACACAGTAAATTGTTCAGTCTGCACTCTTTAATTTATCCAATTATAAGCTAAATTACTTTGTAGATAGTCTTAAGTTATGCAGATTTTATTTCTCTAAAGTATATTCAAATGCTTTCATACATAAGATTCATACACTCAAACTTCATGAGAACAGTTAGCAATTATCATGTGACTATTTCTTCTCTGCTAAAGATGTTTTTGTTAAATCACTGATGAAAGTAAAATATTTGCAGATCAAATGGATCCTCCTAATAACTTTATTTTCAAAACATACCACCATTGTTACCTGAGCTATTTTCAAATCAAATTCCTCGTTTAAGCAAATACACCAAAACATATTTAGATAAATGCTGAAGTTATGATTTGCACAAAACTTGAAGACATTACGCAAGTAAAAAAATCAATTTGACTTTCAAAATCATAAGAAAAAGCAACATCCCTTGAGATTACTGAACATCCTGAACTTTCTATTATCTAAGCAATTTCTGATACAAAGGTTAACTTTTGTGAAGAAATGAGCAACAAAATTGCAAACTACTAGCATATTTTATTCTAAGTCAAGAGTTCCCAGGTGGAGCAAACAGAATGAGCACAGAGCTTTACAGTATGGCTTCTGTGGTTTCAGCCAATGGCAAAGACATTTTTATCATCTTCTTCAGGTGGTTCAGACTGGTGGAAAAGGAAAAGGAGCACAATAATTAGTTGAAGCTCAGCTATCACCTCTTGGTCCCTTAACATTTCATAAGCCAATATGAATGCCACTCCTTTTTCCCAATTATGTCACTAACTCACACACAGAAGTTCCATGGCTATGTGGTTGCTGAGAGCTAAAGTTCCAGCTAGGTGGAAACTGCCCGAGGTCAAAATTACACTAGAAAATCTCTAAAACATCTGCCATCATCTGGAAGGTGTGCATGCCATGTCCCAACGGTCCAACAGTGAGTGTTTTTTTTGTAGTTGATGTTGTTATTGTTTTGTTTTTCTTTCTGATGTTGGAGGAAAGGCAGCCCTCTGTTGATAGAGCTGGCTTGGCTTTAGGGCACCGCTGTATGAAAATTACATGTTAATAGCCAGACTTTGACATTCAGCCCAATTAGATGCTCATAAGAGGTGGGTATGAGCTGCTGTCCATGGAGCAGGGAGTAGCATGAAGCAAGAGATTCTCCCATTCCACCCAAACCCCAAGGCTCATGCCCACTGAGAAGAACAGCAGACAGGATCACTGTGTGATCTATTTTTGCTGTGTACATCGCATGCAATTTAACTCGGGCATGGCAGACATTGCCAGTTACCTACCCAATGTCTATTCTCCCCTGTTTCCTTAGTAACAGCACCCACCCTATTTTTAGAAAGAGGGGATGGTAATAGTAACATGCTCACATTTTCACCTCCTCAGAGAGGAACTGCATGCACCCACCCTGGCAATCAGGGTAGTCCCTGGGACCCAGCTCCAGCCAATAAGATGGAACAAAATCTATTCGATTTGACTTCCATGAAAATTGTTTTCCTAATTTAAAAAGAGGGGCTGGCACATGACTTTTACCTTTTATTCATCCCCTACTTCCTACCTGGAAAGTTGGGAAAAGGAAAAAGTTTAACTCTTTGTAAACTTGGGTATTGTTTTAGCTTATTACACAAGAGTAATTCATATTCTGCAATGAATGATAAACATTCAGAACAGCCAAAGATAGAAAGTAAATTCACCCAAAATATCACCACTGAGAATGATGGCAGGTGATTTTGAGGTGCACCTTTCTGGGATTTAGACCCATTACTGTGTGTGCAGGTACATGCTCTGAACTCTCGTCCTCTGTAATGCTGCAAAATCCTTGTTCCCTCCTGCTCACGGCTGCTCATCCTCTTTTGCTGGATTCACCCCCCTACCCAACTTCACATGGAAGTGTCCAGGAACGCTACCTGGGCCACATTTTCTGACTGGGTCAACCCATCCATTCTCAGGCCTGCTTTCTGTCATGAGCTTCAGCCAGTTATCCATCTTGGCTCAACTCAGATGCTGAAATCACGTGGAAAGTTTATTCTAATCAAACCTGAAGTATCCGTCCTCAAATCCAACCCTTCCCAGTCTTTGGCACCTCCTTAAATGACACCAGTGTCCCCCCCAGTTGCTTGAGCCCTAAACATTGTCCCCAACCCTGCCTTTTTACCACCACCACATCCAATCCATCAATAATCCTTCCAGATCCTTCTGCACTGCCCACATCATCCAATTCCCGACCCTTAACACACATAACCCTAATGAGAGTCCTTTGATCTTTCCCCTTGTGGTACCAAAAAATAATTAAAAAATAATAATCACAAAGCCCAACTTTGGTGACTTTTTTTTTTAAGATTACCCACTTAATTTCCTGTTAATGAGATAAAACAAAACTCTTTAAAAAATCAATATCTGCACTCTAAGGTAAATGCAACTATATTCCTATAAAGACATTTTACAAATGGTCTCCTTAAGAAATCTAGTTCAGACTTGTAGACTGAAGACAATCTCAAGATTGGCGTCTGTAAAAAGCCCTACTGTGAGTACTGGGGAGTGATCCTGGAGAAATCACATTGTTATATTGTCTATCATGTGCAAGGACAAATATGTAACAACAAACCCCCCATCAGTGTGTACAACTATAATGCACCAATAAAAATTGTGTGGGGGGAAGAAGCCCTATTGTTAAATGCTGCGAGAATGAACAAAATAATAATCAAAGAATCCAGCTGAGTGGGAGAGCTGCTGTCCTTACAGACATTATTACCAA